CGCGCGCGAATTACCGTCGGACAAAAACGATCGCCAAATTTTTTTCTCGCTCGTGATCGAGGAAATGAACGGCAAGAATTTTCGGGCGCAGGTCGGAAGATCGACAAAGGATCGTGCTAGGATACGTGTTGTTCTTGAGGCCAGTGCAAGATATTTTCATCGCAAAAAGATGGAAATTAAGGTACAATCAAGATATGATTAGAAAATTCCCATGTGTATAATACACCGAGAAAAAGATATTTAAAAATCTATAATATTTGTGATATATAATATTTATTGAAATGAATCCTTATTTAAACACAGCAAAGTAAAATTTTATTTCTAGCAAATAAATCATTCATTTTATTTTTTACAATAAATTATATATATATATATATAAAATAGAAATGTATATTTCTCTCGGCATCACAATTAATATTCTTTATAATCAATAAATATTGAAAATTTCGATTTCTTTCAGAATAACAGAATTTTTGTACTAAACATTAAATTGAAAATATAATGTTTATTAGTGAATTAAACACTTCCCCTATAAAACAAAAAAAAAGAAAAATATTTTCACTTTTGGCTACAATTAAGTACTGCGAGTTGTACTCACTATAAGTAATTCAAAAACAAAATTCCAACACTTATCAATTTTAATGATCTTTTAATGCAGACATCACGACACTTGGAAAAAAAGTGTTATTACTGATAATTTACCGCAATTCTAGCAACATTTCTCGTTAGTTATAATAGCCAAAATACTATACGATCCTTTTTAAATAGAGTTCAAACTTTTTCAATTTTTTAGTACAAAAAAATTCTATTTTGTTTTGATAAGAAATTATAGAATTATGAACAGAGAGAGAGAGAGAGAGAGAGAGAGAGAGAGAGAGAGAGAGAGAGAGAGTGCTACTGGAATTATCATTATTTTTTTATATTAATAGAATAGTATGCTATTTTACATTGTGTAACTTTACGGAGCTACATAAAAAATTGGATTGTGAAATTAGCTCGCTATTTTATTAATATAAAAAAAATGACAGTTCTAGTAGTAGTCATTTTCCATGGTTTTACAATTCCTGATCAAAATAAAAAAAAGCTCCGTATCGAAATGAAAAAAGACACGGCGTATAACATTTTACATTAGCGAAATCATCAGCGATATTCTTGGCTAATTAACTCAAACAACAGATATAGATAAATTCTCGAGAAGTTTCACGATATAACTTGTAAATACCTGATAAATACTCAACGCTACCTGGATCTCCGATGCGGAACCGCGCGGCTGTTTTCTAATTTATCGTTCGTGAATTCGATTCGCGAGTGCGACAAACACAAAGACAATACATGCAAATAAGTGCAGACAAACAAAAGTACGCGCATAAAGAAGCGAAAGAAATGCAAACTTTGTGGTTTTAATTTCTTCAAGAGAGATTAATCGTCGACTATTGAGTTGGGACCGCCGTGCCGTACATTCGAGCCGTTTAAGCGGTCAGCGTTAATCACGCTGGTAACCGGCGCGATATCGTTGTAAAGCGGACCAATCGACAGTAAATTACCGGGCCCGTGCGGTCGGGCTGCGAACGGTAAAACGCCCGCGATTTCCTTCACGAAGGTGGCAATTAAGCGCGAAACGTTACGCGCGAGACGTCTCAACACCGAAACCTAAGAAACCCGATATTCGCGGGGCTCATTACATTCGCTCGATTGCGATGATCGACTCGCAGTCGACGCGCACATTACGGTTTTGCCACGCCTTCCGACAAAATGTAATCCGAGACTCTCCCCGAGAAACTTATCCCTCGAGAGAATTAAGAATTCATAAAGGCCGCAGCGCAACAGACTTTTGTATAATGCTGCGTAAAGCATAAAACATAAGAGAATCGACCAATCAGAATATAAAATGAAGGACTCTGATTCTCTTATGCCTTATGTGTTATACAGCATTATGCAAAAGTTCATATCACTTAACGTAACTTACGAGCACGCGTTCGTAACGATTGTAACTTCGCGCGAGCGACTCGCGTAACAGTGAAATGAGAAAGAGCAATAACAATAACAAAAATAATCTTTCCGTTCTCGAATACACTCGTAGCGCGAGGTCGCGATAACGATGGAGCGAGTTAAACGGCACAATGCGCGTTCGCCGACAGGGATCTCTACGCGTAAGTAAGTATATTGTATACCTGTACGCGACGAAATCGTAAAGTCGTAAAGTCGCACGATGGTTGCGTATGTACGTATATACATACGTGCCACTGACGGAGGTCTCAATCCGCGATACTCACACACGCGTGTACATATACATATGCAACATACACACGTATACAACACTTACACTCATACACTGAGAGACAAAGGCGAGACGCGTAACGCAATAATAATCATAATGCCAGATCGATACAACACGCGATGTTCGCTCGTCGCATCGGCCAGCGAGGATGCCGATGACATGAAAGCGAGGAGGAATGCGCGCGTAACGACGACGACACTTAGATGTTGGCATCAAGAAATCACTAAATTATTAGTTTCTACTAGTTGCTTGTTTCATCCCTCATCCTACCTTCCCGCGATACTCCCTCCTGTGTGTAATATTCGTCACTAAATTGCGTAGACTTGTACACGTAGAGACAGGCGTATGACATGCGTAATCGCGACGAACGCGAACAGTACTTATAATAATATAAATACGTATAACGTAATAAACGCGCGATTATCGCGCGTGGAGAGGCGCACGGATATCTTTCGATAAATCAACGAGAGTATAAATCAATATTACGATGTGCTTTCTAAGTTGCAGTGTTTAGCGTGCTATGAAAGGCAGTTCAGACTATAGAGATTCTGTATTATCAGAGTCTAGCCTCGAGAGATTTTGTCAAAATCCTGAAAAAGAGAGAGAAAAATGTATATATATATATATATATATATACACACACACACATACATACATGTGCTATTGTTAATGTAAAATAAATGTGTATTCTATTTTTTTTATGTGACTACAGCTTTTTATTTTTCCACTTAATTTAATTATTTTTTTTTTGTAATTTTTCTTAATATTTGTAATACTTTTTTCATGCTGTTAAATGCACTCTATAAACTTGTATTAATATTATTTGTTCTAGCGCTTGAAAGGACTCTCTCCTAGAATGCTTAATAAATAAAGCTATCTATGATCTCTTATATCTTTCTCTCTTTCTGTGTTATATAAATATATATGTTACCTTCTATCTGTATGTATATTATCTCACTCTTTTACTAACTTATACTCTCTTCTCTTCTACTCCATCTCACTTATAATCTTAATTAAAGTTATAAAGTGAGATAATATAAGCTAAAGTGAATAATGTATATACAGGGAAATATACATATTTTTCTCTCTTATAAGATTTTGAAATCTCTCATGTAGGGATATTCATGTAGGGATCGCTCGTCCAGATGTTTGATGCTTTCCATTTCTAGACCTATTGTTTCATTTACTATAGTTATAACTTGTTAATATAAAAATTGTATTTTTCTATCTATGGTTAATCACTGATAGTTCTACAGCGAATAACTTTTAAAGTCATCGCAGAATCGAAAAATATCAGAGAAAAATTACGTTTAATTGAAGAAATCGTTTCTTTCGTTGATTTTTTTAAGTTGAAATGAAAATCACCTTCAAAAAAAATAAAAATGTATTTGATTTCAAGAAATTACATTCAAATCAAAGAAAAATTTATTTGATTTCCAAAAATGAAAAGGATCAAATCAAAGGATGCACTAAAAAATAAATTAATTTATTAATTAATCATAGCTAGAAAACAATTTTTATATTAATTATGAAATTAAGATGCACGAATTAAGGTACGTTTAGAAATTCGGGGTATATTGAATGTTATCCTTGTTGTTTAAACAAGAATAAAATGATATTTCGATAGATAACTATACGTTCTTTATTATAAAGGACAGTCTCAGGACAGTTCTTTATTTCTGTCCTTTAAAATTTATTTGTTTCTTCAAATCTCAATTTTGTCCTTTATTTTCCAATATTATCCTTTACTTACTCATTTATTTGACATTGGGAAATTTTTTTCCGAGTTCTTTTCTAAGCGTTCTAATGTTTAATATTATATTAAAGCAAATTTTTATGGAAAATATTTTATAATTTCATGCATATAAATACATACATATTTTTGTTAAATTGTTTATATTTCTTAATTTTTTTAAATTAAATTTATTCAAACTACAATTGTTTTCATTTTTTATTATTTTGAACCTTTTATTATTTCAGATCAAAGATTTGTTCCAATACAGTCGAATCAGTTTCAAACTATCAGAAACCTGTGCATTATTTCAATTTGATTATATACTGTGCAATAAAATTTTATAATGCACAGATTCTTGACAGTCACAAACTGGTTTGAACGCATAGCAACAAAGCCTCACATTTTCAAATTTGTCTTTTATTTTCTTTAAGAAATCCGTCACCGTACATATGGGTTTCTGAACGCAACCTTAACGTCGCGGCAAGTCCTCATAAGGGTACGAATACAAAGGAAGCAAATTTTCTGCTTTCCGGCCAGCGTCAAGTTTCCTTTACACATGTCTACTGTATCCTCGTCTGTGCCAATCGGTGCTGGTTGGAAAGAAGAAAATCTGCTTCCTTTATGCTCGTACCCTAAAACATTGTCGTAGACTTGTTGAACGCATCGTATTTTGCTGAGAGAAAACCTGCTCAGGCGTATCCGTGACGCTTGTCAAAAGAATGAATAACGCGTCAATTACGTCACTAAATTACCACCGAAGTTTCCTTTTGCTATTTGTTCTTTTTTTTCTCTACCACATCTCTACTACATTGTATGTACTACGTTATTTTAATATTATAGGAGTGATTCGTCAGATTAACAGTTTGCGCTCTTCGAACGCGGATTTAGTGATAATGGCGATAGTCGAATTCCTGCATGCGCTCAAGTAGAGAAGCATTATTATTATATGTATAATTGCGACGCTGTCGCCGATCTCTTTGATTCGCGTCTCTCCACGTCGCGGTAAAGCGAAGCCATGCTCATCGATCGCGTGCGCGATTCTATCGTGGATTTTCAGAATTCATTCGCAAGAAAGATTCTGCTTCGTCATCGATATTCGAGCATCGATATTCTCGCGCAGGCCTCACTCGTCAGGAAAGCCCGGTCACAAATCATCAGTCGCTATCCAGATAACATACATGTTGCATAAGATGTCTTACAATTAGAAAACGTTTTTAGGTTCTGAAGTTCGACCAGAATCAGAACAAAAGGAGCCAAAATTTCTTTATCCTTGATTATTGGTGAAATTTCAATCTTTAATCTTCAATCTCATTCGTCAATGCGTAGTCTGATTCCGACCTTAGAAAACGTCTACTTTTTTAGACGTTTTTTCTTGTCTAATAGCGTTGTTTTATTGGCAGAACTGACGCGCACTCAGTGCATTAAAATCATTGTACACTAATTAATAATACTAAATATACACATTGATCTAAATGTAAAAGTGAGATATCTCATAATTGTGTGTGATAAAATGTGTATATTTTATCAAATAGCACAATAAAATGTATTGAGAATTTCGCGGTTTAACTCGTTTTTATTAAACATATATCTTTACATCGATTTGTATATAACGGTTATTTGTATATATAAAATGCACACTGAGTGCATTAGTTCTGCCCATGAAAAACGCTATAAAAGAATAGATGTCTAATATTTTTATTAATGTAAATTAATTTTTATTTCGATTCAACTTTTACTCTTCATATTTTTCTAATTTTAGAATTAGAAAAATGAAGAGCCGAGATTAAAATTAAATTATATTCATAGGTGCTAATACGGCTTTGAATTACTTATATAACATCTTAAGATTGTACTTAGGATGATCTTAATTATAAGAATTGATTTACAATATAAGAATAACTCGTAATATAAGAACCGATGAGTACGACCTAAAAGACATCTTTTAAATATCTTATGCAACATACTATCTGAGTACTAATCGTCATATTATAGAATCTAATTGTTGAAAAAATGTCATTTCTTTGTTTTTTTTCTCTTCTTTATTTATAAAAATTCATCTCGCACTCGGAAATGATATAGGCAGTAATAATTCTTTCTATTCAACCTTCGAAAGATAAATTGAATAAATGTTGTTAAATAAACACAAAACACGTTGTTAAAAATAATTAGAGAGAAAGCTAGTTTCGTTAGAAAAAATTTTAACCTCCATACTAGCGACTCTCTTTTAATATGCAATAATCTAAAGCCGCAGTAAGGCACATGGAAAAAGTAGTAAGGCACATAATAAGCAGTAAGACGTAAACAATAAGCAAATCAACGTTTTTTATTTCTCTAATGATTATATTATTGCTTTACGATATCTACTATGATTGGCCAATTCGTTTATTGCTCACGTCTTACTGCCTTGCTTTTTTCAGTATATCACGAGCTTAATGCTTCTTTCTCTCAACAGATGAAAGGATTAAAGTTACCAAGAGATGGATCTGACAAGAGTTTTTCGACGACGATAATTTTCACGGCGACGTCTTTACGCTTTCGCCAGGCAATGACGATTCTCAAGTTAAATCGATCCGATCGAAACGGGATTATCTTCCGCGGGCGATGGACGGCACGTGAGTACGTCGAGTCTCTAAACCGAACGTTAACGAAGGTTTCACCATCGATTTTTTTTCAGAAAATCGCCTCTACACGCTGCAGCATGCACTTTGTCTCTCTCTCTCTCTCTCTCCCTCGCTTGCTTTCTTTCCCAACCGTTTTTCTCTCTTTCTCTCTCGTTTACGCCCACGCGCGCGCGGCCAACTACGGAACCGGCCGGCGGGTAAGAGAGAGTGTATTTCTCGCTTATTATCCTTTCCTTCGATTTTCTACCGAAGAGAAAAGAATACGCCGAAGGAAGGTGCCGTCTATGTATATTATATGTTTGCGTGTATGTATTGTGTGTGTGTGTGTGTGCGTATGTGTGTGTCGGTGAGTATCGTCCGTATCCGTGACGTGTGACTCACCCGCACACGCGGCCCGATGTACTCGCCGGAGATTTACAGCTCATTACCGATTTCATACCCTGGCGTCACGATCGATCCACCGCGCCGAGCCGATATGGAATCGAGCGGAGTCGAGCGGAGTCGAGCGGAATCGCGCAGAGTATCGCCGTCGTATCGCGTGCCATACCGATACATGAGACCGCGCGAG